GGTAATTTTATGGGAAGAACATCATGAACGGCATTCCTCGTCGAGAACAGAAGTTGAAGAATACGAAAATTTATGCGCGCAAATCTACCCAGAAAAAAAAAGTAAGGGAAATTCTTTCAAATTCGATGGAAAAGGTCTTCGGAAGCGACTCGTTTGTCGTTCTAGCTCAGAGGCAAGACCGAAGAAAGTAGGTCCATTCATAGCAGTTCAAATTGATTGGACCGAAATTAATACCCAGAAGTTGCCGATAAGTGGAGTGGGAATAATGCCATCTGATCAGGGAATATGAGGAAAAAGCATTTTACATTCGTTTATACAATGCCAGATCAATCGTTTCGAAAGGGCAGTGGAAAGAACGGCAAAGGACATATGTTCCACGTGCAGGTCGATGTTATGTGGAATAATGCATGAGCCAGCTAGACGGCTCATGGCCTTGGTATTTGTCATCTACCAAGTAAGAACGTGCTTTTCATCGCCTTCAATTTTGGACTGATGCCATGTGCTGCGTCTGGAGGCCTCACTCCAAAGAGGGATCTAGCTATTCCTAATTACACCGTGCTTAATTACGAATGTTTATAAACCCGTTTCGTCAAATGGATGTGGACGTTTCGCGAACTTGCACGTTCAGCCCACATATCTTTTAATGAAAGTTTTGAAAATTTACAGATTAGTAAAAAGGATACTTTCTTACGTCATGTTACTTCCAGCAACAAGGCCAAGGGTAACAATTTTCAATGCGTCGAACAATGCGCCTTCAATAACGTATTAAGTCCTCCCAGTGACTCCATGGCACATGTGCAACTTATTTTGTACTAACGACCGTCTTCATTTTTTTTTAAAGAAACCCTGTAAATAGAAATTCAGGGACTCAATCAGGAAAGTAGAAAGTGGTTAATACACCTTTCAGAAGAAAACTAAAATCGACTTGGTATGAGGTTCTTAACTTCCCCTCACGCTAGCCTTCCATGATTTTTCCGTAATGGGATCATTAACTCCTTACTTCCATGGGATAAACGTGCGATTTCTTTTCATTCATCAGAGGCGTTGTTCAAAATCTTTTCTCACAGGATTCTGATTTACCCCAGCTACTAGGATACATCCGGAAGTATTCATTTTTGAAATAGCATTGCTCTCGTTCGTTGTTAATTGCCAACCANAAAATGAAGTGATTGTCCGTTAAGATCTCTGAGAGGGTTTCACTTCTTGCTCGCAAAACTTAGCATTGTGGCAATACCACCAATGGAAGAATACTCATCGATTTCTGAATGGTAACATATATTTTCCAGAAAATCTAAACGTGCTAAACAGAAAATCTAAACGTGCTAAAGTACTCCCACTCAACCCTATAAGTAGAATAGCAATGAATGACACTCTTCGAATTCCTTCCAATGAGTGTGGTACCAAATACACTTTGAAGCACTTGTCAGTACTTCATATCCGTATCTGAAAAACGGCAAGATAGATCTCAAAACCATTTGAACATCGCGAAGAGAATTTGAATATGCGCCAATGCACGAAATGCCTTGTCTAATATTGGGCACGTTTTCATGCAAAATAGGGGGAAATTTTAGTGCCCTACAGCCCATTATAACAGTGTAGTTAAGTTCCTAAAACCAGATGGCGAACGTGTCCCGAGCATTGGAGTTTTCAGCATTGCAAATGAAGCCCTACCCCTTCTCATTCCCTATTTGTCAGTCACGGAGGATGCCTTAGGTCACGTTCCTCCCACCCTCCCCCTCACTTTTTCCCTTTTTTTTTATCCACGTCTCCCACTCGCCCACCCCAGGATGCTTATGGCCATAGGGCGGGCCTCTGCATGTTATGTCCCTCCAAAGCTCCTCAGCACTTTTTTTTTCCGCGTGTCGTTCACACGCTTTGGTGCGCCTCGAATGGTCGCGTCAAAGGGAAAATCGTGCTCCATCCCCAGATTTCTTGTCTAATTTTCATAGTGAACATTTGTAACGAATAATCGGAACATGGAATTATGCTTAGATTTTTTTGCGTCGGTACCATACCCACCCCCAACGCCTCTGAGTCGGCTTTGGTTCGTGAGTTCGATTCCCTGCCCCACGTGGATGTCAGAAGGCTGGCCATTTCCAGTGAAAACAAATTTGGCAATTCAGTGAAATCGTTGCCTTTCTGTCAGACCGGCAAATTTGGATCGAGGCTACGAAATCCGTTCGACCCGTGACGAATAAGAAATGGAGCCCGGAAGGGGAAGCTCGGTGAAGCGAGCCATGCCCTTAGTCTGTGGTCTAACGACGCCTGTGCTAAACTTAAATATGAATCTAAATTTAAACCTTAGGCTAAAGGGACAAGAAGAAAAATGTACTTTTTGCTCTTAGACTGATTTTAGATTTCGATTTCGATTTCGATTTAAGTTTAGCACAGGCGAGGAACAGGCCCAAGGTTTCCCTGCTGTCTCATAGCCCGAGGATACGTATGTCTTTCCCGGAATTCTCTCCGAGTGAATTCGTCAGGGGGTCGAACGTAGTTTGCAGTGCAAAAGAAAACTCGACCGGAAAAGGAAGCAATATAAGGAAGGGTAGTTCGGATTGGAATCGCGATCATTTCCGCAATTCGCAAACATTTTGCTCGTTTTGGGGGCATCAACTGGGGCGATCGCATTTCCTTTGCAAATCTATTGCATTTGCACGACCTTGCGCGATCCGAGACGTCGAAGGCCGGTCGAAAGTTTGCGTCTTCGCTTTCCTCAGCCTCCGATTTCTCTCCAATTTTGGCCAACTTCATCCGAATTTACTTTCGGGCTTACTTGACGGGTTTCTTGACGGAGTGGCGGATTTTCTTCTCTGCCATTCTATTCAGTAGTCTTTGGGACAATAATGTGATTGACGGTGAATTTCCCTCCCATCCCAGGGAGGGGGAGTGGAGGCAGGGAGGAGGGGAGGGGAGGCGGGGGGGGGGGGGGGGCAGGGAGGAGGGGAGGGGGGGGAGGCAGGGAGGAGGGGAGGGGAGGGGAGGCAGGGAGGAGGGGAGGGGAGTGGAGGGAAAGGGTGGGTAAAGATTAACGGTCTTATTCGCGCGAAGGTTCACTCCTTGAATCGCACACGGACAATGCAAGAAGCACATGAAGTTGAGAGGCGGGGAGACGCTATGCGACATCTATTAAACATTTTCGCACTGGCTTAATTTTTAGGAAAATTAGGACCCCTCCAAATAGCATGTTAATGAGTTGCGCTCACCAAAAAAAAACATAATAGAACATCTTTTCTAAGTCTGAGAAGGGCTTGGCAGCCTCTCTTTTCTTGAAGTTTTTTGCGACCCTGGCTGGTGCCACGGATAAGGACAAGCGGAAAGTTAATAGAACGCCTTGCCCTTCCGTGAAGCTGAAGGGTCATCTTTCTTTCGGCAGTCACAGCGCACACTGACGGTGACTCCCTACTCTGCATGTGGATGAATAACTCCTGTGAATTGATTCATAATTAATTTGGCACGAAAAAATGCTTGAAGACATACGCTGAACTGCTCAGTGTCCCAAGCCAGAGAGAGTAACACATTGAGAGCAACACTTTGAGAGCAACACATTCGGACCTCCCTTCTCATAGCAGTTCCTCGCACGATTCTATCGAAGACATTTCCTGAAGGAGAAATTCTTCGCAACTATAAAAAATGAATGGGATACCGTTCCGCGTTTCCGTGTGGTCCCCTTCGAAATTGTTCCCATTGACATGCGATGGAACCAAACGTTTGTGAATAACTTGAAAACCCGGTCGACCCGAGTCTTGGCAACCTCCTTCAATACGTTGGCCGCAGCTGAGCGTCTGCGAATTTTAGCGAATAGAAGCAGCGATTTCTCAGAAGAAACGAGTTTTTGAGAAACAGCCGCGTAATGACAAAGCGCGAAGTCCGGAGCGAGCAGTGGATGCAGGAAGCAAGGACTTGGGATCATCATCCACGGAGGAATTCACTTTGCGAATGGGAGAGAATGTAACGTATTTTAAATTCGGTTTTGCCATGACGCGAGGAAAATCGTTGAAGGGGAAAGAAAGGAGAATTGGGAGAGGGGAAGAGATTCTGGAAGAAGTCGATGTGGCAGCAATAATTCAAAAGCCAGGCATCGACAGGCAAAGCCAGGCAAACATCGTACCGATATTCATCATTTCGCTCTCAAGAATTTTTTTGTACTAACGTACTAAGAATTTTGTACTAACGACCGTCTTCATATTTTTTTTTAAAGAAACCCTGTAAACAGAAATTCAGGGACTCAATCAGGAAAGTAGAAAGTGGTTAATACACCTTTCAGAAGAAAACTAAAATCGACTTGGTATGAGATTCTTAACTTCCCCTCACGCTAGCCTTCCATGATTTTTCCGTAATGGGATCATTAACTCCTTACTTCCATGGGATAAACGTGCGATTTCTTTTCATTCATCAGAGGCGTTGTTCAAAATCTTTTCTCACAGGATTCTGATTTACCCCAGCTACTAGGATACATCCGGAAGTATTCATTTTTGAAATAGCATTGCTCTCGTTCGTTGTTAATTGCCAACCAGTTTGTTTTGATCTCAAAACCGCAACCATTTAACAAACAGAAATTGATTGAAGGTACGACTTAAATCATTCTCCTTGGCCTGCAAAGCAGCTTTGCCTAAGGTGTTCCTTATTACACCACTTTCTCCTATAATAAGAGACTTTAAGCTATCGAATGATGAAGATTCGTAGTTTAGAGAACAAGGTTTCATTTAAACGTCTGTAAAATACGTATAGAACATGAACTGAACGGAAGGGCTAATTTATAAAAACTCACATGTGTCTAGGCAAGCCTCAGCTGTTACGCACTTTCCCATTCTTTTCGGACGAGGGACCATTAGAATCAATAGCACATGCAATGCGACCTGGTTGGTGGAACTCGCGAGGAATGGAACAGCTCTGCTTCTCCAGAAATCTTTTCCGATTGGCTGCAACTGAAGAGGCGATCTCATAGGTCATTTCCAAGAAAAGAGATTTGCCATGCGGAGAATAACCTTTAGTCGGTGAAGATGGCCCGTCGTGGGAAAACGCGTGCAATCCTCATCTACCTTCTTTCTCTCAAGGCAGTTTTTGGCTTTTTAGCATATTATCCGGTTCTTCATGGAAAAAGGTATGCAAATGTGTCCTTAAAACTCTCATTTCCAAGACGTAGAGACTGCAGCATATTTTGCGTGAGCCAGCAACCAAACCCCTGTACGGCCTACAACTACCGACGTACTGATGGATCTTGTGAGCTAATTTTGAAGAAGCAGAGCTCGCTTCTTCCCTCCGATGGTTATGAAGCTTACGCCCAGAGTCAGTTCCTCGTTCTGCTCATCCTATAATTCAGTTCCAATTATGTGTAATGGCCGGGGGTTGGGAAATGGAAGGCAAATGCCCTTCATTCTCCCGGATGTGGCAGAAAATGACTTTCAACCATCATCTCATCAATAAGATTAAGATCACCAAATATCAGCTGTTCGAGTTCTAGCAGACTCATTCAAGGGTATGCTACTCTTGCACGTCTCGTGTGCCATTAGAAACTATTCACCCCCCACCCCTCACTTTCCAAAACACTTATCCAGGTAGCAAGAGATTTTCCTTCCCGAATGTCGGATGAGTATCCGCTATCGACGAACGGGGATTCGCTATATATCCACATGATATATCCCGCCGTTAATCGCATGTAATTATTTTTGAACATCCTTTCTATATATTTAAAAACTTTCAGAAAGTTTCGTAACGGAAGAATTGCCTGCACATAAATTACTCATCGTTTTTTTTAAATAGAATGAAAACTTCCATATTTTGTTTTACTTATATCTATGCAAGGGTAAATGACACAGATTTGGCAGTAAAATATAACTTTCATTTTTATTTTACTTCACTAACAGGCAATTCTAGAGACTCTCCCAAAGTGAAGAACGAGCGTTTTGAATCGTAACACCGTTATGGTGGTTACCTTCTTATGAGTAGCTAAAGACTTACCATTGTATATAAAAGGTATTTTGGAATGAATGCTCAAGCTTGTCTGTGACAATGTCATTCCCAGTGAAAAAAACCAAGTTTATTAGTCAACTCTAAACAATATCGAATTTACAGAGTTCTGCTTGACGGAGTACCCAATGGTGGCTAATGCGAATGCGACCCACAAGGGATGGGACGGGAAATACCCAGCTCCGGATGGGGCCAAAGTCATCTTCACCTGTGAATTTGGATTCGCCGATGGGAAGAAAGAGCACCAGGCCACATGCTCCTCATCTGACGACTTCTGGTGCACCTCCTTCAACGTTGATGTGACATGTCCAAAACCAGGTAAAATAAAGATATATAGGGTGAAATATGGGTAGGAAACCTTATCAGCCTGCCTCATCTGTTTCCCGCCCGACACTCTCCTGATCCACTTCGCGGTCATTTATATCAGAACTGAGGGAGCTGATGAATCTCTGGGCATTAGCAAGCAATTTAATTACGTATTTTCCGTCCTTAGTGATTGAGAACTTCATCTTAATTTTCCTCTTAGGAAGAAATAACACCCTTGTGCTGTTTACTTGTGTCTGCGATCGAATCTGCTTGAGGATGCAGGAAAAAAATATTGATTCACAATATAATGAGGGTAATAATCATTTGTGATCAGGGGATGCGTTCGAAATGGCATTACTCTTTGTTGCCATTGCTCCTGCGCTTTCACATACGAAAGTAGCTTTCTTGATCGACATTTACTGTATCTCTCGCTTCATTCCAATTGAGATTATTTTCTGCGGTCTAGTGAAATCCAGTTCTTTTGGCACGAGCGTTATGAGTGTTTTGCCTGAGTGGTAAAAGATGGGTAGATGAGTTGGTAGGTGCCTATAGTTGTATGGAATGGATGAGATGGGATGAAATAGGGAGACTTCATGGAAAAAAGAATTTAGTAACACTCTTTGGAAAATTCTTTTTTAACGGAAAATTTGTGGATATGATGCTATATAATTGATGTTTTTTAACATCGTAATACACATAATGTGAATGAATCTAAATATAATCATTAACAGAGATCTTTTGGTCACAGTTTCCAAATCGCAAGCGAGAGTGTTTGGCATAGAAAACCTCAGGATCATTATGTTTGCCACATTCCGAAAAAGATTTCGTAATTATATGGACAGTCCCTGATTGGTGAAATTATATTCAGGGCTTTTGACGTTGGCAGATCTTCCAAAATGATCCATAATGCTAATGATGTCTTAGAGACAAACCATAATGTTCATATTGTTGGCTAAAGCGATCAGCAGTACAATCAAATATATGCGCTGCGATTTATTCCATCCGCTTTGACAGCGTGACAGCGAGTCATGAGTATTTTAGAGAAACTACTAGTACGCTTCGCCTGAAGCAGATCGCGTATTTCGCTTGTTTGGGGAAACGTTCCAAGAGGGGGTGGGTAGGAAAAACTTAATCGGGATGCCATTATGTACGAGTTCCTTTCTGCATTGCTTGTGCTGGTGCTGGTGCTGGCGCAAAAACGGATGTACAGCCTGTATAATTCTAGCAAAAAATCATATTTTGGGATATGGTGTGCCAAAAAAAACAAATTCTGTCAGAGAAGAAATAGTTCACACGATGAAAGAGACTCACAGGAGCAAGTGTGACAATTCTTTACGTTTTAATATTGTCCGTAATAATGATCGCGAGGCAGATTTGAGGGGGAAAGGCACATTTCGATTTCAAAAACTTCCCGCTGACCTTATTTTCAAAAAGATCACATAGAAACAAAAAATAGGAGAAAAATGATTTATGGATCATCGTTTAAGTTACCTGTGGCTCTTTCGGCAGTATACCCAGATTGCCGGAAAACGGAGAAGGGAAAGGAGTACATGGGTAGAATAAACAAGACAGAAACCGGGAAAGACTGTTTGCGATGGGATTCCAAGCCCTACGGGAAACCCAATTATTTTGAGACCAACATGCTTTACGAAGAGCATTTCCTCAACGAGGACCCCAGATCCCATGAGAACTACTGCAGGAATCCCGCACTGAAGGAAAAACCTTGGTGCTTCGTATCTGACACTGACATCCAGTGGGAATTCTGCAATATCCCATTTTGCGAAGACAGAGGTTAGCCCAGCCATCGATAATTTTTTCCACATTGTCTTCCCCCCCCCCCCCTCCCACCTTTCTTCTTACGAAGTTCATGGCTTCAGGTGCCACAGGAGCAAATGCATTTTTTTCCTTTTACTTCTCAATGCAGGATCGGTAGTTTTATTAACTTTACCTGAACTTTTCACGAATTTTTAGACATACTACGTTCATATATCAATGAAGCAGCATTGCCGTCTTCTTTCAGTCCGATATGCATATCAAAGCAATCAGGAGTAATTAGAATAGTAAGTAGTAAAGATATGCGTAGTATAAGGCGAAAAATTGGTATCTCAGGCAGGCGCATTGTCGATGCAAAAAAAATATGTGTCCACATTGAAATAATGGGTACGTCCTTACATTGTTGAGTTTTGTGTTGGTCTTCCAATTTCTCATCGATTTCACCAGGACCCATTCTGCATTTACTTAGATATTGAATTAGTCTTCAATTCTTAGTTCAGATGCTCCTGAAATCGATTGATTCCATTTCCAAGAGGCCTCAATTTTCTAATGGAAATATTAACGAGAAAAGCAGAGAAGGGAAAAGCAGTCACAGCCAAAAGTTCTGCCCTTAGGGTATGCACCAAAAAAATTTCATTTTTCTGAACTCGACATCACCTCGGATATGTATGAGCCAGGTTTCACCTTTCTATTTCTGCCCTATTCGACAGGACAAATAAAAATTCCTTCAAAACGTCGCCCAAAAAATATTCACACAAAGTTTAAGTTTTCAATGTTCATCGGCTTGATTGAAGCAAACATTATTTTGAAACATCTTCCTTTGAAATGTGTATCCCGATAGCATTTACCTCCTACGTCTGCGTTTTTCTGAACTCAGCATCCCAATAGGTAGTTACAAGGCAATGGAATTAATACTAATTAGTTGTAGAACAGTGAATAGAGGTTCTCAAGGAGAAGTACTCAAACTGTAACGTTCTTTGATTACATTATGAAACCAAGGGCAGCTAAATACGGAGACATTTCATGAAAGAAAACTTCAACGGTTTTGTATTATCGGCAGAAGAGAGTACTAGCGGACAAGATTGCACCAGAACCTATCCATTTTAATGAAAGTGGTCCTTTTCAACGGCAAACATATAATTTCCCAAGAAAAGGGGCTGGGACTTCAATGCAAAATACATTTATATGTAGCCATTGGTTTCTTATTTGCCTGCAGAAGGCGTGGTTTTGTGCTATGTTGTGTATGCATCATCGGATAGGATTTTTCGAAACCGTATCCTTACTTACATTCATTACTAGCAAGCTTGTTTGCCCTTCGGGTAAACGAACTCGCCATGGTCCCGCCTTCGGCGCTCCATTACCTTGGATAGTGATTAATTCATTTATTCTTTGCGAAATGGCAAACACGTATTTAAAGGACGTCCCCATTAAAATACGTGACATGAGGGGACGAAAGTCTTGATTTTTATCAAAATCAATACTTCTATGGTCTTTAGTGTGCCTAACTTGAAATCTTTTCTAGTGTCCCTTTTTGTAAGGGTGGAGAATACATTTTTAAATACTTCCTTCCTATAATCTACGTTGAGAAGACATATTTTAAATGTAGGGTTTTCCCTCTACTCAACCATCAAACAGGTACTTCTGAGGGAAGTTTAAATTTTTTCTCTCTGTTTCATTGGATAAAAAAAATTCAAGAAAATGGGACTTAAAAAAAGTTGCCTGATGGATTTTAACGAACATTTCTTTTCTTCTGATATGTAGGCTCAGGGAACTCCATGCCACACAGTTTCAGCCTCATACGTTTCCCCTTTTTGCTGGCGGAAAAAATGTTTTTTGAAAAACGACCGACCAAAAAGCTGGGAAAAAATTTTTTTGCCCTATTCGGTATGATATAAAAAATTCTTTGAAAACGTTACGTCCCCAAGAAATATGAACCTCAAAAATATTTTGGAAGTTTGACGTTTGACATTTGAACTCGGTGCTTCAGCAGTCACGTTCTTGCCAAGTTTCAGCTTTCCATGTGTCTTCCTTTGATTGAAGCAAAGAGAACTATTGGAAAATATGTTCCCCGAAAAGGTGTGCCCCTATGGCATGCATCGCCAAGGTAGAATTTTTCCTCAAGTCAGCATGCGACTTATATCAGCTACTCACGATCTTTTAAAAGTAGAGTTTTTTATTGACGCCGCAATGCATCAGGTTCTTCTTTGCCAAGTTTAAACTTTCCAGCGTCCTGTATGTCCAATTCGCCACAACTATTTTTTTTTTAATTCCCCAGTGGATGTATCTAGACTTAACATTTTTATTTTAACTCCTTTTCTCAGTAGTCACATGCATACAAAGTTTCAGCTTTCCATGTTCATCATTTTACCTGATTCAAAAAAGTTATTTGAAAACATCTCCCTTTGCATTTTGTGGCCCTAGGGCATTTGCTTCCAAGGTCTGAATATTTATCCAGCATCGCAATAGGTAGTTATGTACCAAGTTTCATCTTTCCACGCTAGCTCAATACGCCAGGACAATAAAAAAAACTATTTTAAGTCTCACCAAGCGATGGATTGGAACCTCGACATTTTTTCTAAACTCCTGGTCTCAGACGTCACTTTCATGCGTAGTTTTTTCTTTCCATGCTTCTTCGTTTGACTGAAGCAAAAAAAACTTTCAATAACATATACCCTGGAAATGCTTGCTCCCCACGGCATTCAGCTAAAAGGTTGAATTTTTTCTGGACTCAGCATGGCATAGGTACTTACGTACCAAGTTTCATCGTCTCATCATTTCTAGAACAAGGTTAGAATTCGCGCCAGTCAGGCACAATCGCTTTTTATATTAGAAAGTAAAGAATTAAGAAATAAATTCGAGTTTATTCAGAGGAAGCTCGAAGAAGTAAAGAAAAATAAATTAATAAAAAAAAAATCACCTGTGTTCAGAGCACTATATTCAAAGCATCATTATCGCATATGATGCAAATTGTTTCGATTTACACAGCTGAATTACTTCTGCACGTTTCTAAATGTTTTAGTCGCATGGATATAGTAAGAGGGTGGGTCGCGACGTAAAAAAGGTTGTGAACCACTGCTTTAGAATGTTGCCTGTCAAAATAAGCAGGAAGTTACCAACTAATCCGAATTCTTGACCTCTCGGGTTTCCTATTTAATATTTCACTATCAACCGTGAAATACAGGTTCAGCAGTACAATCATAAAGGGATGTCGTTTACATGATTTCATAGTACCCCTGGAGTGCAAACTGACGCAAAAAGGAGGAGAATACATGGGAAAAAAGAACAGGACCATCTTGGGTTTACCATGCATAGCATGGCTGAAGGCACCACTTACTTTCCAATATCGCAAGTGGATCCAGAGAAAACCTGCATTCTCGGACGACGTGAATACGGAGCACAATTATTGCAGGAATCCTGGCGGTCGCCCTGGAGGACCCTGGTGCTACAATGAAGGCACTAGCAATCAAACACCTGATTGGCATTACTGTGACGTCCCCTTTTGTTCGCTTCCAAAGCCAGAATCGAGTATGTCAGAGTATAATTACCTCTTTTGTTTTCCACGTTAAGATACTTTTTTTCAATTTTATATGGAAAGGGCTTTGCAGAGAAAGTAGTGTGGCTCATGAAGCCATCCTGAACAAAGGGAACCAGGCCTTACTTAACCCTTTCGCTACCAAGCAGAATCATATTCCCTCAGGAAAATCGGCTCCTTGGGATTCTACGATTAAATGTCGAAAGAGCCCGATCAGTAGTTTTCCTTCCAATGCCGACCATGTTTCAATCATTAGCAAATAAAAATGTTAAATGTAATAGATTCCGCGATCCATTTCCTTATTTCCATGTATCAGATAAGGCACACAATTGAATTATACATATAATCATTCCTCCAAAACGTCGTGCTCTATAGACCGGTATGTACATCATGGAATACGATTTATTGTTATATGGCACTGAATCCTGACTCATTAATAATCATGATGAGATGATCATAATTACATGCTTCTTGACAAGTGCAGACAAAGGACTTCATGCGTACTTGAACAACTTCATAAAATGCGCAGGAAGACAGCGGTCTATTGATTTCTTAAAACTCGTAATTTAACATGTAGTAATTTTTCCGTGTTTCCAAATTCTTCGCGAATATAGCACCATGTATTGCAACTGGGGAATTTATTAGGCTGTCAACTCCTTGCAGTTTATTTTATGGAACCTCCAAAGGCATTTCATTCAAGTGTTTGCCCTTTTTCAAACATGGAAAAATATAAGAATCACCTGACCCTGTGAAGTTTCACTATATTTCCATAATTCTTGAAAGAAGGCAAAGAAATAGAATCAATACTTTGTCTAGGTCTATGTCAGAGTAAGTGCAGCCATGGTTGAACCATCAAAGTGGTGTCCATTCTTATAAGTATGTGCATACCATGTTAATTTAAAAAGTACTAATTCATTAGTTCATATTTTTATCGTCATTGACAAACATTGTGATGTTATGAAAGCTCATTATGTTACGGTGTTTCCCAGGATTAGAAATCGTGGTGCCAATTTTTGTAATTGTTTCGCATTTTTTAAAATGTTTAACATTCTCATTTTTGTGATAGATATAGGGAAAAGTGCAATCTCGAGAACTGTTCGGGCTTGCAGCTATGCTTTTAGTTTTTTTCATTGAGGCATTTTCCTTACCGAAATGTATGCTATTAATTGTTTTCCTTAGTAGCGGCCTCAACCGCGAGAGAAGCTTGAGGGTTCAACACATTTTCGTTCAGATTTCCTAAACGCTGCTAATGCAAACATGTGATTTCCTGTGTGCAGAGAGAAATGCTGGGAATGAAGCGATTTATCCGAATTGCCGGAAAACAGAAAAAGGGAAGGAATACATGGGTATCATCAATATAAGCGAAACAGGGAAGCGGTGCATGCGATGGGATGCATTCCTGAACATTGAAACATACCCAGACATAATGGTGAACCATCTGCCTTTAACAGTTGATTCCAAGGTGTTGACTTTTGAATACTTATTCATCAATTCAGATCCATACCAGCAATTTGATTATTGTCGAAACACTGGATCAGGGGAAAGGCCGTGGTGTTTCGTTTCCAAGGAGCCTTCCATCGAATGGGAATACTGTGACATTCCATTCTGCGACGACCTTGGTACGCATCTCCATTTATAATTTTATAGTTTGCAACTCTCGTTTTTCCTGTGATATATTTCCTGCCGAGCATAATTTCCTGACAATAGGGTGAAATGTGTCATTTTACTGTTCAGTGAATAATTTTAATTAAAACGGAAATCATGCCTTGAGCAAGTTCAACTTTGATAAGAAAAAAAACCTTCACATCATTGGAATAGAAGATTCATAAACAAAAAAATTCATTTTGGACCAAAATGACTAATACTACATATGTACATTCGCGACTATTTTACCAACATGAAATGATTATGGTAGTTCCATTGGAGTGCAAGCTGACAATAAAAGGTGGAGAATACGTTGGGAAGAAGAATGTGACGCAGTCAGGAAAATCCTGCCTTCCTTGGTTGAGCCGAATCCCTGAAGACAACAGACTTGACAACTTCCTATTTCACCTTTCGGATCCCATAGACAGCACTCACAATTTTTGTCGCAACCCACCGGCTTTCATAGAAACTCCATGGTGCTGGACTTCCTCACCAGGGGAAGATATCCTTTTTGAGGAATGTGGCATCCCCTTCTGCTACGAACTTCTGTTGGAATCCCTCAGCAGCAGTGAGTTCATGCGTGATTTTTATTATCCTGCATTCGTATCCCGTCGACTGAAAAAGTACTCGTAATCTCAAACAATTTTTGGTGAACGGGAGAGATGGCCTTTCCAGGTAAATGAATGAAGAATGACAGAACGGCTGCTCTTGCCTAGTATTGCAGATGGAATCCAAGACGATTTATTTTGCATCTGTAGATGAAGGAAGACATGAATATCCACAATGTCGCCTAACGCAGCTGGGAACAGAATATATGGGGACGGTGAACAGGACAATGACTGGGAAAGAGTGCCTGCCCTGGAATAACGTGCCGTATACTCCCCTCCCTGTCTACTATACAAGGGAGTGGTTTCCTGACTATGTAGTGAGTCAGTATATCATCCCGCACAAGAATTACTGCCGGAACCCCGGGTTGAAGGAAAAGCCCTGGTGCTTCGTCGCTGATCCAGAAATTCAATGGGAATACTGTGATATCCCATTATGTGATGACAGTAGTAAGTTATTATTGTTCTATATGACTGCCATGACAATTTCCAACTGTTTCAGAGTGCACACCATTTTGGGTATTTCGTGTAGCACATCTTCAAGAAATCCATTCGGCTAGTTAATCCATGCGTATGTGAAATATATATATGGAGATTGTACTCCTTTCAATTGAAACCTTGTGAATAGGCTGGTTCACTTCTCCACCTAACATATTTGATCTCTTCATGAAACCTTCTACTAAAGTCATATTAAAGACCACGGCATAATGCATTTTTTATGTTCGCATGTTTGGTTACTTACAAGTAATGCCTTGTTTATTTCATGTCCGATTTTTTTCCTCGTTACTAGCGTTACTAGTTATTGCTCGTAAGTTACTAGCGGATACGAAATGTTTGTGTCACGGTGAATGAAAATCTTTTCCTCAACCGCAAGGCTGTTGAACATAATGATGAATTAAAATTGAAACGTGACAGCTTGACATAAACGTACGAAACAGGGAGCATAAGTGAAAACAAACAAAAACCCAGCTAGAAAAGGTACTTTCCCATGTCAGTACTCACAATTCCACAAAATGGAGCTATTTTCACCACAAAAAACTACGATGGTTGGAAAGTAGTGGCAACATGTGTGGTATATGAAGAAAAGCTTTTCTTTCATTGAAAACTACCATTACAAGCCTTCAATGTAACTTCCTGCCATGCAATGAACCTTGTCCCAAATCTCTGGGAGGCGTCGAATGCCATCAGCAGATCGATTCTTGTTAATATCTGCGATGGACCTCCCTGCTGCCCGCATTACTTCCTCCAGACTGCGAAACCGGTTGCCTCGGAGGGATTCCTTCATCTTCGGGAACAGATCAAAGTCGCAATGACTCATGTCCGGAGAGTAGGGAGGACGTTTCAGAGTTTCCCATTGCTACCGTGCCAAAAGGTCTTTCACGGTTTTGCCACATGCCAGCGAGCATTGTCGTGCAGCACTAGTGATGGAGCACCAGTAATGAAACGCGGACGCTTTCGTCGCACCGCCGGACGCAGATGATGCTCCAGAAACGCTCTGTAGTACTCTGCATTGACTGTTCGGCCCTCTGGGACTACATGGTGGAGGATGACACCATCGATATCATAAATCATAAACCGCATCATTTTGACTCTGCCGGGTTCCTGGCGAAGTTTCTTCGAACGTGGAGAACCTGGATGGCGCCATTCGACTGCCGTTTCAGTTCCGGCTCATAATCCCGTGCCCAGGTCTTGCCAAGGGCTACGATACGGCGCAGAAATGCATTCTCTTCGTTGTGGTACCGTTCAAGGTGGAGGTTAGCAAAAGCGTACCTGTGCCACTTTTGCTCCTCGGTACGGTGGTGTGAGACCCAACGTGATGAAATTTTTCGCATCCAGATGATGTCTTTAATGATGCGACAGACAAAAAATTGGCTTATCTCAACATCCCCAGCCAAATGGCGCGTCTTCCATTGCCTATCCACTTCCAGCAGTGACTAATCGAGCACCTGTTTGTCCGGGATGGTGGGACATCCTGCACGTTGATTTTCCCCGGTAGTGCCCCGACCCTGGCGAAAGACTTTCACCTACCGTGCGACAGTTCGGTACGGCAACGCATCGTTGCCACGTGCTTCCTGCAGACCACGTCAACAGTCCTTCGTACTACGACCGCGTGCCACCTCTATTTTTATTCAGGAACGTTGTCCCAACTTCTTGAACATATCATAGATCGCTATGTTATGAGACGCCGACTTTCCCGGCTTGTTCACGTGCACTCTACTGCCTTGCAGGCATAACACTGATGGCTAACATCAAAAACATAGTCTCCTAGCAACACTGCGCGAGAAGTCACTTTAAAACCGTTTTGTGTATTCGACCGCGGTGTTGCCATTTCTTTTCATTCAACCCTCGTATTTCGATGAAGATCACTTTCAATAAAAGTATTTTGCTTCACTCGATACTTATATTCAATATCAGGTGGGGACATGAAAAAACTTGCGCTGAGATCTTTGCTTTTATTTCTCAACTTCCATACGAGGCAGAGGTGTACAAATGCACCCACTTATAATCTTGAATCTTTCGTTTCGACTCCAATAAATCTATGCATCTCTGAGTCGTGTGCTCCGAGATAAATCACTCCATGGCAGAGAAGAGAGCCTGAAGTCAACAGGCCCGCAATAGGATTACCTTGGAGAAGATCCACAAGTCCATAAACTAAAGGAAAACGAGTCTATGTGTCGCATGGAACAGCGTTAAATTGAATTTTAAAAGTCCAATTTTGCCATTTTCCACCAACTGTAATTGCTTGTATTGATATTTGCCGTCTTAAACAGGATGCAAGCTTCTAACCTGTGCAATTTTGAATATCTCTTTAAAGTCTTTCCGTCGATATTTAACTCATGCTGTTGAATCGGATTTTTCACTCTATGAAATTTTCAAATTTCAACCTTCACATTTTTCTATTAACATTTATTAACCAATTACCAACTTTTAAATCCTGGTGAAACAACCAGGCCTGGCTATTCCACACCAATGATCCGTGAAAGGCTATGGTAATATTTTTCACTCGTCTCGATAATAATATATTAAAACGTTAATTTTGCAAATTTCCTAAACCACAACTTTGTCGTGATGACTCAACGAATCATCTAATATATATAGACGATCGTGACTGACTGACTGATTGTGACTGACTGACTGCGATTAAGATTGGTACAAGGTCTTACCAATCTTTAGACTTTGAACCATGTGTACAACCTTTTGGGGTGCAGAGTTCAGGAAAACTCCGACTTTGGAGGTATTTGCCCTGGGGGTACACATTTTCGGGGGAGAAATTTTTTTATAAATATATCATGATGGATAAGGATGTCATCGAAAAAAACCATTGTATGACACCGTTTCGGTGGTGTAGTGGTAGCACATTGGACCGGTAATCGTGAGATATGGGTTTCAATTCCTAACAATTCCATGCTTTTTTTTTCATTTCTCTTGCCTTCCATGTCCCATTGCTTCAATAAAACGGAGAGACATGGAAAGCTGAAACGTGGAATGGACGTTCCTACTGACGCGATGTGTTCAGGAGAAATACAAAATTTCACATCCATGCCCTGGGGGCATATTCTTGGGGCCGACGTTTTCAAGTATTTTTGTTGTCCTGGTGTATGGAGCTAGTGTGGAAAGATGAAACTTGGTACATAATTACCTACCGGGATGCTGTGTGTAGAAAAATTCAGAATTTGGAATGAAATGGCCTGGGGCATGAATTTCAAATGAAGATGTTTAATTTTTTTGCATTAGTTAAACCGATAGACATGGAAAGCTGGAACTTTGCATGAATGTGACTAACAAGATATGGAGTTAAATAAAAATGTTAAGTCTTGATACATCCCCGGGAGAAAATTTCTCTAGGGGCGATGCTTAAAAAAAATAGAAATTGTCTTGGGGAATTGGACAGAAATTGGAAAGGTGAAACTTCGCACACGGATAAGTGACATGATATTATTGAGTTGAAGGAGTATTCAGCTTTCATGGTGCATCCCTCCGGGCATAGGTTTTGGGTGGGTCAGCTTTTCCAAACATGATTTTTCACCAGTGAAAAGGACAAATGTATAATATTGAAATATTGTGGGCATGTAGTTCACTGAGGTTTGATTTAGGTAAAAATGGTACTTTACTGTTATAACGCCCGAGGGCAGATGTTTTCCAAATTTTCATACATTTGCTGATTCAGCAAAATAGAGGGTGGTAGAAAGTGGATAAAATTGGATCTTTAAAAACGTGGAAACGTTTTTAAAGATATATATAGACAAAAAACTCCGTCTTTGGAGGTACATGCCCTGGGGGTACACATTTTGGGGGGAGAAGTTTTTTTTAAAATAGATATCGTAATGGATAAGGATGTCATTCGAAAGAAATCATTGTATGTCACCGTTTCGGTGGTGTAGTGGTAGCACATCGGACCGATAATCGTGAGATCTGGGTTCAATTCCTAACCATTCCATGCCTTTTTTAAATTTCTATTGCCTTCCCTGTCCCATTGCTTCAATAAAACGGAAAGACATGTAAAGCTGAAACGTGGCATGGACGTTCCTACTGACACGATGTGTTCAGGAGAAATACAAAATTTTACATCCATGCCCTGGGGGCATATTTTTGGGGCCGACGTTTACAAGTATTTCTTTTGTCATGGTGTATAGAGTTAGTGTGGAAAGATGAAACTTGGTACATAATTACCTACCGGGATGCTGTGTGCAGAAAAATTCTGACTTTGGAATGAAATGGCCTGGGGCATGAATTTCAAATGAAGATGTTTTCCCATAATATTTTTTGCATCAGTTAAACTGATGAACATAGAAAGCTGAAACTTTCCATGACTGTGACATCTGAGACAAGGAGCTATATGAAAATGTTACGTCTGGATACTTCCCATGGGGAATTTTTTGGAGGTGTGATGTTTTGAAAAAAAAAGTTTTGGGGGCGAATTGGACAGAAATAGAAAGGTGAAACTTGGAACACGTATTAGTGACGACATTACTGAGCTGAGGGAGTATTCAGCTTTTGTGGGGCATCCTCTCCGGGCATGGCATTTCTGCGGGTCTGCTTTTCCAAGCATGTTTTTTCACCAGCGAAATGGGCAAACGTATAACATTGAAACTTAATGGGCATGCAGTTCACCGGGCAGACATAGAAAAGTAGCTGGCGCACGCATCACTGACATGATGTTGATTTAAGGAAAAATTGAACTTTTTTTTATACGTCTCCTCAGAACACAGCTTTTGGTTTGGTCGCTTTTCCAAATACATTTTTTTCCGCAAGCAAAAAGAGGAAACGTATCAGGCAGAAACCGTATGGCATGGAGTTCCCTGAGTCTACATTTCAGAAGAAATACAATTTCCGTTAGAAACCCATCAGGTCCCTTTTTTCAGTCCCATTTTCCTGAATTTTTTTTGATCAAACGAAATAGAGACACAACATTTAAACTTCCCTCAAAAGTACCTATTTGATGGATGCGTATAGGGAAAATTCTCCTTTTGTAATATGTTCCATTAGCATAGATTATAAGAGGGGAGTATTTCAAAATGTATTCTCCACCCTTACAAAAAGGGACACATGAAAAGATTTCAAGTTTGGCACAGTAGATATCATTAAAGTAATGATCTTGATAAAAATCAAGACTTTCCTTCCTAAAAGTCATGTATTTCAATGGGGAAACACTTTAAATACGTGTTTCTCATTTCGCAAAAAAGTAATGAATTAATCACTATCCAAGGTAATATAGCGCCGAAGGCGCGACCCTAGCGAGTTTGTTTGCTAGTCAATATATATTGATGACTCATTGAGAATTGGGTCGAGCTTCCGTTTCCTTTTTTGAACATTAAATGGATTATCGCAGTTCGCTCCTCTCCCCCCCCCCCCCCCACAATAAGCATACCGCACTGACCAAACATGTTCACATAGCCGGTAAATGTTCCTTATGAGAATCCTATATTTTCCGAACCTGATGCTCAAGATGTCCTGTTTAATTTCAATGAAATAATTAAAATCCTTCGACTGAGGAGCACTGGCTTGTAATTTGTAGCTGATCTCATGACGATCACCAGATACTTGTAATGAACATGATTCTTTTATATAGTTTGATTCGTCTGAAATGTACAGACATAGATTAATGTGGTTGACAAAGTTGTGGATTGTGAAAATTAATACTGTACCTTACAAAAATATTGTAATTCATTAATTATCAAGACAAGCGAAAAAAGAGTCATGGTCATTTATGGGTCACTGGTGGGGAATAGCCAGGCGCGGTTGTTTCACCAGGACATCGAAAGTTGGTAATTTGGGCAATAAATGCCAAGTTCGCGTCCATTGTATTTCTTTATGTTGCTTCGCTCAATCAGCCGATTATCTGAATAACACTCATACATGATGATTTTAGTCAAGCAAAATTGTATTTTCTCTTTTCAAAGCTCCAGCAGAGTGCAAGTTCTCAGAGTGTGGTTGGGAGTATGCAGGGAGCAAGAACGTGACGAATTTGGGGGTCACATGTGAACAATGGAGCAATGTTAGAGGAAGGCAACAGGATAATTACCTCTACCCTGGATTACCGGAGAACAAAATGGAGACTACTCATAATTTCTGCCGTGGAAAGTGTTCGAGTATGCAAGCCGTTACTACACAAGATGAAAACTGGAGAAGAATTGGCCCCTCCTGCTACACCAGGGATACCTTTGAGTTTTGTGACATTCCTTTCTGCCCCTTGAAAATACAACCAAGTGATTAATCCTCCAAGACGAGGAAGAGAAAAGCGCAATATATTCAAGAAAATAAGCGTGTCGCTAGAAGGTGAATAGTTAACTTTTGCTAAGCGAAAATACTGTGAGAAAACTCAAATTCCCTTAACTTTTTCCCCACATACTTCAAAAGAAAATCCTTCAAGAATGACACTACATTCGGCACTGAACTTTCAGTTCAAAATCTGCAGGTGAATTGTTTGGTTCTTGGTAAGACATAGCGTCAATTTCTCCCATATCCACCTCCGCGTCCTTGTCATGTCAATGTCATTAACTCTGGCTTCTCCCTTGAGACCGGATTGGAAAATCCAGACAACTCGTTTGTTTGTTTAGAGGAATTGTACTTTAAACGGAAACAAATGGGTGTCCCTTCACCAGAGATGACTGCTGAAAGTAATCCAAGTACTTCGCCACGTTTTGGATTGGAAGAAAACACGAAAAATCGATCATCTGACACAGTCACTGTTCTTGCTGTTATCTACTTCCTTCATAATTATTTTTCCTCGTCTGTGGGTTCTAATGATCTTCTTTCGTTTCTGTGATGCATTTCACTTTTACCTATAGGTCTCTCTCTCTTCTGCTTTCATGCAATTCCTCAATTCATACCCCACAAGCTCGATGAAGCCAAAAAGTGAAAGTGTTCATGTTAAAAAAAACTCGATGAAGGGGAAACTTCTCTCTAGCTCCCGGCTAAAAAACAGGATTGGAAATATTGTCATTCTTTGCGTATCATCGTTTTAAGGATTAGCTGTCAAGAGTCCCAATTTATACCATTGCTCCACATTAAATTCATTGTGGTAATTTATAGAGAACATATATTTTTCACGTATGATTACGTCACGGGGATTAATCAATTACCGGTTTTTTTTTCCTTTTCTCCCCGATCACAGAGAGATTTCATTTGCTAATGTCTGAGATGCTTATTCGCTGAATGTTTATGGCATGTGGTACATATGAATAAATGGAATGCAGCAGGTAAACCTGCACATATTCTTAAATTGATGAGTAATGGGACAGTGAAATATTGGTATCAGGTTACTACAAAATATCCAATAATGTATTCTATTTTTATTCCGCTGATTTAGTAGCTACATAATGCATTTGACCCCTCCCAGAATAAATACGCTCAAGACTAGTTTAACAACTTCCGTGATTTGCTCGTCTTTGATGCGGACAACGTTGTCCGTCCCAAACTGACTTACCCGTATCAGACATTGGCGAATCGTGTTTTGTTGTCACGTTCTTAATTTACCACAAACATTCGACTCAACTTTTGTCTATTTGTATTTTTAACTTCGTCCGATAGAAGACATGAGCTGTGAGCATTTACATATTTGACTCAATTCATTGCAAACAAACTAGTAAGTGGTTAATATGTCTACAACCACATACTGCGTCGTTTTGAATCTAACTCTCACACCACAAAGATACTTCACAATTAGGCTAAACTTAAAGATGTAACTGCCTTTTGCATGATTCTTTTTGTACCCCTCTTCTACCTCCTTTTCTATTCCAGAAATTACTTTTTTTGTAAATTGTTAAGGGATTAGACTCCTTCCCAAATTGCGTCACGACTTTAAAGCATGTAATACCATGGTTGCTACATCATGACCATTTTCAAGGCAATGTTGTGATGACTCCTCACACTCATACTCAGCATAGTTATTTTTCCAGCATTAGAGATACTTTCCGTTTCATGCTAATTAAAAATGCAAGCAAAACAGACCGACATTCTAGGTTGCGGAGTAGGAAAAAGTACAAGCTCTCCTTTAATTTATTAATCATGGGAATCAATGAAAGAAGAATTTCAGGAATCTCTCATCACTCACCTTTCCCACTGGAAGGGACCTAAAATGGGAAGCTTTACAGGAATTTATCTATTTCTACTTCATAAGACATCAGATTCAATGCCTACTGCAAATGTACTATTGTATCTGCACTTATCATTGTTTCCCAGTTTGGTATATGGCTTCAAGTTGCTTCAAGACAATAAGTAAATTCCATGGTTTGCATCTGCATACCATCTGTAAAAATCGAATTCATGAACGTACCAGCTCAATAGTGGAATTTTGGGCTTAGGCCTAGGCAATAGATCAAATTGGGGAAAATTAAAAAAAATTTAAGATCCGCCTGAACATCCTCCTCAAAGTTTAGCCATATGGAATGGAACAGGAGTGCAGGTACTCAATAAGGTAACTTATGAACTGTTAGAGTTGAGAATGTTGCAAAGATTTAGTTCTACAAGTTCATCCAGTGTTTCCAGTATTCTTTAACACCCTCACATACTACAATGGATATGGCACACGGATCAAATGGACACCATTGAGTCCTATCGTTAGAAAACATTATTTGAAGTATTTCCACTCAAGTGCAGATATCACTTTACAATGACACCCCCACATCTAATATACAGGGTGGGCCAAAAGTTTTTGCCCCTGTATAAATATGTGAATATCTCCTGAACGGTTTGGGCTACAGAGTCGATAAGAAAACTGAAAGAAAGTTCATTTCATGCTCTTTCTGAAAATGTATGGCTTTAGGTTCCTACATTCATTTGGAGATGAGTCATGGCCGTTTGAAAAAAACATACCGAAAAAAAAGTTGCCAAAGCGCGACGCCTCTTTCTACACTGCACAGCTACAATACTTCTCGATTTTAAATGAAAAAAATTGCTTTAACTCACCTTTTAATTATTGAGGAATGGTTCAATGTGTCCTCCTCCATTTTGATGTCGACTTAGAAATCCAAGACTGAGGGATCTATTCCGAGGCTTGAAGAATTCTGGTATTGAGGTCCTCAACATTCTGGATTCTGTCACCACGATAAACTTTCTCCTCCATAGCAGACCAAACAAAGTAGTCAATGGGATTTAAGTCTGAATTGCAAGGTGGCCATTCGCCAGGTGCAATGAAGTCATGGCATTTTTCCTTCAGGTAGGCAACTGTCTCCCGAGCAGTGTGTGACGGTGCGCCATCCTGTTGAAACACAAACTCTGGTGTTTCCTGACTGATTTCTGATAACATTGGGTCCAAAACGTCTTGGCAGTAACTCTGTGCATTGATCTTCACTCCACGTGGAATGAAAATGACAGAGGTTTTCCCGTTAAATGATGCCCCAAGTGAGACCATAACCGAATCTGAAAAATGTTTCCGTTCTCTAAGGAGTCTTGCCGGGTCAATCTCATTTTTCCGATNAGTAGCCAGGTAACAACTAACTCACGACTTAGCTAACAGAACCTCGAGAGTATCAACACGTCCTCAAGCTACACGAGAGAGTCAACACGTCCTCACGCTACGAACGCTCGACCAAGACTGACCAATACTTCTATAAGATTAAGATTTTCCTTTTTGTAGTATAATAACCATAATAAAAAAAAACATGTTTGCCATGTCGCTACCAAAATATGAGATTATTATCTACAGTATTTAGCTTTGAGCAGGGGTGCCCAAAGTGCGGCCCGCGGGCGCATGCGGCCCTCTAAGGGCTTTTGTGCGGCCCGCGAGGAATTTTTTGGGAAAAAATACATTTTTTATGATCATGTAAATGAATGAATGATTTTATGTGCTGCGGGATGAACAAAGCATGACCTGACTTGGTTTTTATTCTCTCCCGGGTGAGTACAGTCTATTCTCAGCCAAAATTCTCGGATATGGAATCATCCTGACACTTATCGAGGGTAACCATGAGGCGCTTAACAGGATTTGACATCCAGGCGCCACCTGTGTGGGCGAAAGAATTCGCAGGACTGCCAGATTCTGCTGAAAATGTGCGTTGCATACATCATTTCAAAGAGCTTCTTTGCATTTTTTCACGCAGAAATCTCTCTGATAAATTCATGTTGTCAGATTCCTCCCAATGGCCGCCACGACATCGCAAATACACCGCAGTAGGAGATTCACATCAAGATAATGTATAACATTTCATGCCACCATCTGACATCCCTATCTATTTCTACAATCCCATCTGAAAGGGGTGAAGAGAGAGTAGGAGCCAAACCCTGGACTTTATTATACCAACCTCGTCCTTAGGGCTTGTATGTCATCCGTCTCTCGAAGGACAAACAAGCAGGGACGATGTTGTTGAGAGTAGGAGCCATACCCCGGACTTTATTATACCAACCTCGTCTTTAGGGCTTGCATGTCATCCGTCTCTCGAAGGACAAACAAGCAGGGATGATGTTGAAACCAGTTCATTCCACGAGGACTGGGATTGTCAGTCGAGCCGTGGCTCCATACCAAGGGACAGTGTGGATTTGCGAGTTACAGTCTGGATTCTATTTTTCCGTACAAAGTCAGCAGAGCGCAGAAAACCTCGTAACAATGAAAAAAATCGCATATTTCACGACAAGTGGACTCACAAATACTTTGGATGACACGCACCAATGGAGGAATCGGAATAGTTTAAAGACAGGATGAATAAGTTTATTAAAACATGTTTAAGAAAGTCTTTCTTTGACATGCCCCATCGAAAATCATTTTAGTTTCGTGAACACGTTTATCCACGACTTAAACACGTTTAAAGTCAGTTTGGGAGCCCTTGCAAGGAGAATGAGTAGCGTGCAAGCTGATGCTCCATTTTCCGTAACAAGTCGGCGACGGAAAGAGGAAACCTTTGGAATTCCACTCCGTTGAACCATTGAAAAGGATTGAGTTGACCTCTGATAGTTTGGCAGTTCTGGCAATCCAGGCGAACCTAGCAGAATCACGTTAAAAATTCCTATCTCTTCATTAGTTTCAATTTCTACCGCCGCTGGATGATGAGAGGCGAGAAAAATGAGGCCCACTCCGGCAAAACAGCATGCTGAATTAGGTGAACACTAGGAAAAAATTTTTTTGCATGATGCTCAGCATGCAGAAAAACAAGTTTCCAATTATGCGGCCCACGAGCCCGCACCCTACAGGCTGTGCGGCCCCCATGACCCAAAACTTTGGGCACCCCTGGCTTAGAGTTTATTTAGAAAATATGGCCCTGAAATTTGGTTTTAGCAACTCATTAAAGTAAAGTGTCACTTCGAATACTCCGATAGCATTCATTTGGGTTCCATAATTCAATCACAAAGAGAAAAAATAAGTAAAATAAAAGGGGACTATCTCTTTGGGTCCTTTCTAGATTGGCCTCTAGAGGTCCCAAAGGCAAAGGTATATATACAGGGTGGGCCAAAAGTTTTTGCCCCTGCATAAAAATGTGAATATCTCCTGAACGGTTTGGGCTACCGAGTCGAAAAGAAAACTGAAAGAAAGTTCATTTCATGCTCTTACTGACAATATATGGCTTTAGGTTCCTACATTAATTTGGAGATGAGTCATGGCCGTTTGAAAAAAACATACCGAAAGAAAAGTTGCCAAAGCGCGACGCCTCTTTCTAAACTGCACAGCTACAATACTTCTCGATTTTAAATGAAAAAAAAGGTTTAACTCACCTTTTAATTATTGAAAAATGGATCAATGTGTCCGCCTCCATTTTGATATCGACTTAGAAATCCAAGACTGAGGGACCTATTCCGAAGCTTGAAGAATTCTGGTATTGAGGTCCTCAACATTCTGGATTCTGTCATCACGATAAACTTTCTCCTCCATAGCAGACCAAACAAAGTAGTCAATGGGATTTAAGTCTGAATTGCAAGGTGGCCATTCGCCAGGTGCAATGAAGTCAGGGCATTTTTCCTTCAGGTAGGCAACTGTCTCCCGAGCAGTGTGTGAAGGTGCGCCATCCTGTTGAAACACAAACTCTGGTGTTTCCTGACTGATTTCTGATAACATTGGGTCCAAAACGTCTTGGCAGTAACTCTGTGCATTGATCTTCACTCCACGTGGAATGAAAATGACAGAGGTTTTCCCGTTAAATGATGCCCCAAGTGAGACCATAACCGAATCTGAAAAATGTTTCCGTTCTCTAAGGAGTCTTGCCGGGTCAATCTCATTTTTCCGAACACTCCACGTGGAATGAAAATGACAGAGGTTTTCCCGTTAAATGATGCCCCAAGTGAGACCATAACCGAATCTGAAAAATGTTTCCGTTCACTAAGGAGTCTTGCCGGGTCAATCTCATTTTTCCGAATCACAGCTGCATGCACACGGTCATTCTGGGTATTGCTAGGTGTTTGGACTCTGAATCTTTTCTCATCGGTGAACCAGACGTTCCTCACTGATTTAGTTGACCGAAAACGCCTGAGGAGTTTTTTGCAAACGTCGTGACGTTTCTTCTTCGTTGCTTCAGACAACTCCTGAACAGTCATTCGTTTAAAAACCTTCAAGTTCAGGTCGCTCTTGATTATGCGTCTCACAGAAGATCCAGAAATTCCAGTCCTTTTGGCAACCTCACACTGGCTGCCGCTGGTGCCTGGTCTGTTTTCCTGGCTCAGTATCAGATCTTCCACAGCGTCAATGTTTTCTGGCGTTCTTATAGTTCTGGGACAGCCTGTGACTGGACGACGTTCAGCAGTGCCAGTTTCACGCAGTTTTCGCAAGAAATAACGCACAGTCGTTTTTTTTCCATTTTCGATCGGAATATTCACGCAAGATTTGGTTCAAGGTAAATCCTTTTTCTTCACGAAGCGACCGGATTAAAACTCTATCACTCTCAGTTAGCCCACGGTTTGTACCCATTTTCCCTGTAAGGGTTTCTGAATGAGAGAAGATTTGGTTCAAGGTAAATCCTTTTTCTTCACGAAGCGACCGGATTAAAACTCTATCGCTCTCAGTTAGCACACGGTTTGTACCCATTTTCCCTGTAAGGGTTTCTGAATGAGAGGTAAAAAAGGGTAAATTTAAACAAATTAACACTGCAAAGACGACCACTCAGCACAACGCGCGGAGTGGACCACCGGAGGCCGTTCAACTTTTGTCACAATCTTCTGCTGGTCGGTTATCCAAATCAAGCATCAAAGTCTTCAAATTGTCATCCTTCACATTATGAAGAAGGGAGGGAGCAAGTAGGAAGGAAGAAAACGACGGCTCGCGCGACCTTGAAGCCAGCTGCTGAGGATGATTTCCGTGGGCGGCACGGTATAGGTTCGTTTTGGCAACTTTTTTTTCGGTATGTTTTTTTCAAACGGCCATGACTCATCTCCAAATGAATGTAGGAACCAAAACCATACATTTTCAGAAAGAGGATGAAATGAACTTTCTTTTAGTTTTTTTTTTTCGACTCTGTAGCCCAAACCGTTCAGGAGATATTCACATTTTTATACAGGGGCAAAAACTTTTGACCCACCCTGTATAATGCTATGTTGAATTGAGATAATGAAATGTAGAATACTTAATTCCTATTAGTGGAAGATTGATTGGTTCTTTTCATGTAGAACGTTTTGCAAGAGTGCTACAGGAACAACAGAGAATGCGACAAGAGCGTGAGAGACAACATCAGAGGCTTCTCTGTGCTGATCCGTTCGATGTTGAAGCTCAACGGCTTATTGCTGATGAAATCAAGCAAAAGAACATTGATGCCAATATGGAAGCTGCTATTGAATTCAATCCGGAAAGTTTTGCTCAAGTCACCATGTTGTACATCAACTGTAAAGTCAACAGTCATCCTGTCAAAGCCTTTATTGACACAGGTGAATGATTACTAAGGGATTCTTTCTGTCACTTGATTACATTGACCATTATGAAATCTTGCTGTTGCAGTAGCTAGAATGGTATGTTTGACTCATGTTGACAGGTGCTCAAACAACAATAATGTCTGCCCGCTGCGCAGAGCGGTGTGGCATCAACCGCCTTGTTGACTCTCGATGGTCTGGGATTGCTAAGGGTGTTGGTGTTCAACGCATTGTTGGTCGTGTCCACATGTGTCAGATCCAGATTGGTCAGGATTTCCTTGTGTCCAGCTTTTCCATCCTCCAGGAGCAGCCCATGGATATGCTCCTTGGTTTGGACATGCTCAAGCGTCACCAGGTTCCTGCTCTTAGCTATGTCACATAAGTGAAATTTTGGAAACAGATGATCACTGATTTTCCTTTGTCTTTTGAGCAGTGTGTGGTCGATTTGAAGAAAAATGTGTTGCGGATTGGAACTACTGGAACTGAGACACCATTCCTTCCAGAATCAGATCTTCCAGAATGTGCACGCCTTTCTGGAGGGACTGCAGATGATGACTCTAATGCAGATATGATCAAACAGAGCATTCAAGAAGCAGAAGATCGAGAATTGGCCCAGGCTCTAGCTCATAGTGTCCATGAAGAGCATAAGCACAAGCCTATTTCCCTGCCATCAGCCTCCAATCCCTCAATACCTACCAATGAACCCTCCACTTCCAATGCTGCTGACCGTGAGGTCCTTCCTCCTTGGTGCCATTCCACTTACTTTTACATTGCAGGATAAAAATGAAGTAATAATTCTCTGTCCTGCAGAGGATCCAGAGGAAGAGGAAGCGATCAGGACGGTAATGTCATATGGTTTCTCTCGTTCAGTGGCCATTGAGGAGCTGCAGAACCATGGTGGCCAAGCAATGCAGGCTGTTGCTTCCCTTCTTGCCCGATCTCTACAGATGAATCCCTCCTGAATATGCCTCCAGTCATTGCTTTCTTTATCCCTCCTTCCTGAAAAAATTTGCAACATATTTACAATTGTCGAAATTAGCACTGTTCATAATTTTTTAAAAGGAATTATAAAAGAGCTGAGGAGGCAGGAGTGTTTGGTCCTGCCTGAGGTGGAGAGCCTTCCTACCTCTGAAAATCTTGAAAGCTAGTTGCTAAAGACAATAATTAGATTTATTCATAAAAATCCTTACCAGTACAGTGCAGTCAACTCTCTGTTATCTGAATGCCAATAATCTGAACCTCCCATTCATGCAGACAAAAGGAATGGTCCTGGTAGAAATACCATACATTCTGTCTAAAAAATTATACTTAACCCTCATCATCCAAATATTTAAGTCTCCCACATGCACTCATGGATGGACTTTAATCATATGTACAAGCAGGATGTGTTGTTCATGTGATATTTATAAACTGGAATGTAGTGCAAAGAGTAGTGCATCATGTGATGGTTACATCTTTGTATGGGTCATAATCCAACCCAAGTGGTGGCAGGGCTCTATTACATCATGCAAGTTTGTGCATTGCATATATGTAACATTTGGCAGCTAAAGGTTAATGCATATGACTTCAATCCAAAGCTTCCATTAATACAGGCACATTCACCTGTTCCCTGGGCCATTCTCATTTGGTTAATCCGGACTTCTAAGGATGAGGCATGGAGTATGTATGCAGAATATGATGTTTATTCCCCTTGGAACCTAGAAGACCTTTCTAACATGTTGGTGAAGACCTGGACAAATGCTCACAATTCTTATCATTTTGTCTCACAGAAAGCCTACAAGTATGTTGGCAATAGCCATCTTGCCCTTACAAGATCCTTTGGCTAAGCCAAAAAAAAAGTAACTCCCACTTTCCTGGAATCAGAATGGCTTGAAGAAATCTCATGCAGGGCATGTGTAATTCCTATGCTCCTTTCATCCCATCTCATTCTGCAGCCATCTTCCTGTTCCCCTTCAATCGCATCCATCTTTGGTACTCAGCCTTGAAAAGTTTGTGCCTCCCTCTATCTCTGATAAACAAATGAACTAGAAAGGAAATCACAGAGCATGTGATACCTTAAAACTATGCTGCCACCTTGCTGCATATTTAGAGGAGGAATGCATCAAATTGTCTTCACTCTGTGAGGCACAAGCATGATACACCTATCAGGGTTTTTTTTATTTTTTGCACAAGCATGAATGGATTCCCAGACACATGAAATATGGGAATAATGTCAAGACGTGCTGCAGTACTCTTAGTAAATTCTCTTTTCATGGGAAAGAGAAGAAAGTTGAGTGGTCATTTTCATTGACCCCTTGAAGTCCGGATTAACAAGACTTGACTGCATGTCTTATTTTATCATTTCCATACATCATTCTTTAGCATCTCTTGAGGTGCAAGTAGCTTGAAGAAAAACAAAAAGATTTGCAGAGCAAAGAGTCTTGGGTTGTTTGTTATTTCTGGCATGAAATGCAATTTATGATGTAAACAGGATATTGGCAACTTATTGAAATACTGTGACAATGAGATGCTAACAGCTTAAAAGCTTATCAGTGAAGGGAGAGCAGCTGTTTCTGAAGAGCATATGCCAGGCACCAGATCCTGATCTCAGAGGGGAACATGCAATCAGCTGAAGATGACATCTCTGATCAGCCTAATGCTGTTGTACGGTTCATTTACCGCGTTGGCCAGGTGAGCCTTAGTTGTTGGTCCTCTTGGACTTTGTCCTATTGATCTAGCTGAAAATGATCTAGCACTGCCCATGAATGCTACAGGCAGTGTATTTCTTGCAATCATGATGCGGAATTTTATTGCAGATTCAACAAGGTTTGCTTGACAAATGGACGCCGTATACTATTGGCCGTTGGGCAGTGTCTTTGGCCTTACTTGTAGCCTTCATCATTCGTGTTTTCATTCTTCAGGTGGGTAGTTCCTAATCCATGTTCTGTTACTTTTTTTTTCTCTTACATTTAAGATGTACCAATGGGCCCTGGATGAAACAGTCCCTTACACGAAAGGTCGCTGGGTTTTTGCCCTCCTCCTAAACATTGGTTTCTTCATGCGCATTGTATGGCTCCAGGTAGGCCCTATCTTTCCTCAAAGTTCCCCCACCTCTTTCTACCCTTAACTTGATGCATGCCCCCTCCCACTTCATGGTCATGGGGTCAGTGCATTTGCAACATTCATCAATATTCCCCCTGTGTTCTTTGCTTTTTAATTACTTGGGGCTATCAAAGGGTGCATTCATTGAGTAATAACATGATGTCATGCACATAAGGACTGGTTCCAGCATGCTTTTTTGAGAATCAATGGTGCAATGTGAATAATCTTCCTTTTGTAAGATTGATAACACATCCACTTCCATATAGTTTTGCCTGACTATGGGCTGAGACCTAAATATCAAACTGATGAGTTACTTACCAGTTTTGAACTACTCAAAGGACAAAACCACCTGTTTGGACAGTGCTTACGTTTGGACACTCTGTTTATTGTTAAATATTACACATTTACTAGGTCAACCTCAGTGAGATTCCTTCCTAGCTAAAGATGTACATGTTATTAAGAGAAAGGCTTGTTGTGACTACATTCGTTGAACATGATATGGAAATATCGGGCTGAAGTAAATGTCATGTTGCAGTCAGGAGAAATTCAAGAAAATGTATGGAGACAAGCTTACTTGAGAATTGCTTCACATGTGGTATTATTAATTCTGTCATTAATTCTTATTCCACAGGAAACTAGGGAACATAGAGCACTGCTTCAAAGAACAAGCATGTTAGGAGTAGATTTCCACCTTCTGATTTGTTAAAACCATGTTGTGTTTGACTTTTCACATCCAATTTGGACACCCAAATAATAAGCACCATTGGAAGCCATATGGCTTTGAAGGACAACACTCATACCTACTCATATTTGTTCTCAAACACAAAAATTGAAATATCTGGCTTGAACCATTAAGACATGATGAATGAATAACAATTCTATCCCAGCTTAACTGTCTAAACATTGGTGGTTTTACTCGAAAACTTTTTCAAATGAGAATGGCAGCAGGTTATTTGAGCAGTGCCAAATGATTATCAGGCAAGATTTTCTAGTGCAAGAAACTAGTGTCAAGCATGCTAGCTCAAACCATCTCACTTGTCAAATGCACCCAGTGTATTGTCTTCTCCTTTGGTCCAGACTAAAGTACCAGTTGATGTCATTGCAATCAGACAACTCCTCTGCTTATTATCTTTGTCCAGTTGAATTATTGCAGACACACTAATGGCTTAGTTGATTGCAAGCTTTGCTTCCTTGGCAGGAGAAGGTTTGGAATCCAGGTTTGGAATAACCAAGTGAGGCATTTATTTCCAAGTGCAACTTAAGGGAAGGTTTAAAGTTTAAAAGTTTAAAGTTAGGGCAAATCTGTTAATTCTGCAACGACTTCAGATGCCAACTATTTGTTCCCTTTGTTCCACTGGAGCTGATGGCATCTGTGTGTGCAGGACCATGTTATATTATACCTTCAATGAAACTTGAAGAAAAGACAAATCGGATGACTCGAAGCACGGAAGGATTTCTCTGATTAGTATGTCCAGGGTTAGATTTTTATTGTGATCATCCTTCCTGATAAGCATTTGGCTTATTCTGCCCCCCTTCTGCTAAAGTCGCAACACTATTCTGAGTATTCCTCAACCCTTACTTCTTCATGCCCCCTTGCCCTTTGAAGGCGAAGTTATTAGTTTTCAGGCCCTTAACTTTGGCAATGATGGATAATAGTTCTTCCCATGTTCAGGTTTACCAGGAGTTCAGGTATAAAGTACAAAACAACATCTCAACCTAATGAAGCGAAAAAGGACGTCTCTGAGATTCCCCATGACAAGAAAGGGCATCTTTGGTCTTTTCTCTTGTTCTTTTTTTTCAGCAATGGAAAGTGGGGGCTTTAGGGCATGTACACAAGGGGAAGGACCTCTAATGTATGCCGTAAATTATCCTGGTGATATTTTATATCAAGACAGTGAAATTATCATACTCTCGATTTCCAATGTTGAAACAATTTGCTCTATTATCATTTATGGTTGTTCCATTCCACAACTTCTGCACTGCTGATACTTTGGAAGATATCCATGTCAATCACCACTTACTCAGTCCTAAAACTAGCAAAGGACTGAGTGAAGGTGCAATCAACATTACCATATGCCCTGAAATATATTTATTGATAATGTTTGACTCATGTCATACAATAGGACTTTTGCTATAGAGAACAGTATTCAGCATTCCTTGCTTCCGTTGTCCACACATTAGTTATCCACTTGAGATGAAAGAACTGTGATCACAATGGTGTCACAGTACATGTGACACTTTCCATTAAACTAGATGGGGTACTGATAGAGGTTCTTACAGGAAAATGATACAGTGGGAAAGTGATATGTTACAGAATTACCTTCCAGTTTCACGAGTTTTGCAGAATTCCCAGATTTGCCCTACTTGAGATCAGATGAGCTTTGAAGTTAATGTGGTTTAGATGGGGATTGGGAAAGGTTAGCTGGAGTTACACTATAAGGGTGTATTCATGGACTTGTGTCTCCTGTGACTAGTGGCTTATTGAGTATTGTTTGTGGGAGGTATTGTACTAGTTGCTGCTTGCCCTATTCCTTAATTGATTTACAACTTCTTTATGGGATGTAAGCCACTCAATCATTCATTGAGCAGTATGAGATAGGGGATGAGACTTGTCAGTGATTTGCTTTTTTTTGCACTATGAAAACTTATGCCATGAATTTCAACCCAACACCAACAAGCTTCTACAGTTTGATATGATATTAGCCTGATACAGAGTGTGCGCCCCATTCATTTTCATTCCAAACTAACTTCACAAATAAGCATTATTTGGTTTCACCAAGGTACCATGCTGTCTGCTCAGTGCCCTCTAACTACCAAATTAACAAAGTCCATGTCATCAGTTGTGTTTCAAATTGTTCATTATTTTCAGGCTCTTCCATAGTTGAGAACAGTTTCAGAGTTCTTATTTCCTATACTTCAAGGTTCATGAAAGAATTCTTGCTTAAAAGTAAGTTGTGCTCAATGTAACCTGGCTTCTTTGATCATGTAATTGAAATGGCTGTTCTCTGTTCTGAGATCTCCAGTTTACAATTCCCTATTCCTACAGCCTGGAACTGGAGATCTCCAGCTTAGTGCATACTGTGCATAGAACATTCACTGAAAATCTGAACTCAATATCTTTTGCAGCTTTAAAGTTATGCATGTTTAAATAAAGTAATGTAAAATAATAATAAAACAGTTTTTATTGAGAAATGGCTGGGTTTCAGGGCTAGTAGGTAGATTTCTGACTTGGGGCTGAATGTGTTAAGTTTCTCATTGGATAACCTAGACCTCTTTAAATTGAAAATATATTAACTCAAATATGCCTGGAGTTCTATATGTAGGACAACATGCAGAGATGCGCATAAAAAATGATCCAAAGGTTCACATGCCTTTTTTGTTACTAAGAATTATCTGCCAAGACATTAACACATTTAGGCCAGACATTTAATGTCTGACCAGATAATTCTGAGGAACATAACTGCCATGTGAACCTTCAGATAATTTTTTTTTGTGCATCTCTACACACTCTCCTAAATATAGGGTACCTGGCATATTTGAGTTAAGGTTGATGTGTATACCAGGCCAAGATTGGTAAGGTACACTGTTTTCAGATTGAATTGGTACCCCCCTACTGTGGAGAATGGACACAAGCTTTCCAGATGATTTTCTAGATGTCAAGCCTGATGCTCCACATGGTTGTTGAATGGTTCTATTAATACTTCACCTTCCATCCACAAGGTGTCCTGCCTGTACTTGATGGAAGTGCTCCTAGGGGGGGTACCAATTCAATCCGAAAACAGTGTAAACGTGTGAAAATATTTTCCATATGGTTTGTAAAACTTGGCTAAAAGAAGGTGAAGTTAAAAGAAAATGTAAGCACATTGTTGACATAAGACATAGGCTTAAGAATTTCTATAAAGCCACTTTTGGATTGTAAAATTTCAACTACACAAGTTTTCATCACTCTAGGGACAGAAAGCAGTGTAATTTATTCAGCCATTGACTAGGCAATGGGGATGCCACAAGATTGTGTCCCTTGTCTCAGTATTTCTGGTGACAGTTAAACATGAATTAATATTTTGAGAGCAATAAATGGAGTTGTGATTCATGCTGCCTTTTCTCCAGTGGACTCATGGAGTTTGAATGAAATTCATGTGATTAGTTGTCACTCAGAATTTATGATCACTCAGAAACTTTCCTGGCTGATGCAACAAAATGACTTAATGAAGAGAATTTGGTATATGAATTTACTGAGTTAATTCCAGACTTTTTATATCTATCTAACCCTCCAGGTATCAATGATTTTCCACTGTCACCAAAAAGGAAAGGCAGGTGTCCTATAGAATAGTAGTAATGTGGAATTATATGGGTCACTCCAAAAGATTTCAGACTTTTTACATGATGAAGGCAAACTGATTCAAGCCTACTCATTGGTCGAATGAATTTATAGGTTACTTGTGCAATTTATATCAGATTCAGTCGAAATTTTAATGACATTTTAGAGAGCTTTGAGTGGCGGAAGGTAGAAACATCTCTTGAACAGCAATTCCCCTCACAGCTGACCTGATCTATCATCACTTTCATGCCACTAGTTTCTGCAACTAGAGGGAGGGTCTACTCAGCTGATATTTGTCGAGATGGGATGCTCAGGAGTTGGAAATCTTAGCCCCTTCATGTGTAAGAAAAATAACTCAATATAACCTCTGATCAGGATGAACATTGATTTGTTACAGACACTGATAAAAAAAAGTTGATTGTTAACCCTTTAATGCATGTTTTTTTTATTTTTTGGCGAAAAAAATCTGGTGGGTTTCACTTATGTCCTAGAACACAGATCATGTGGGGAAAAAAAATTTGAATCAAATTTGTAACCAGTAGGCCTGAAAATCTTATTGTTCCTCATTTACTACAAACAGCATTTTCAGCTTTCTAACTCAGTAGTTCCCAAACCTCCTTTTACCCGTATTGAAGCTTCATGAGTCCAGTGGGTTGCGACCCCCCATTTGGGAACTGCTGTTCTAACCCATGCTGCATGGACACTAGAGAGCTCAGTTGGTACATCAACATTCATATATACCTCAATGCAAAAGAAAATGTAAAAATACAGGTGAACCTGGACACTTGATTAGTGTGAAGTTGAAGATAATTCCACAAAAAACATCAATCTGTCACACGACCAAGCCAGGTGTTTTTAATTTGCTTGCCACCAGGAGTGTATGGCACCTAGTGACCACATGGTTGCTAGGTATAAGGATTGAACTATTGCACATCTGCCATGAACTGATTTACCTCAGGAGCTCGCTACCCACACATTTTAAATATGTTTATTTGATATTTAGCATGTCTGCTACGTCATGCATTAAAGGGTTAAAGATCCTCATCAGCAAGTGCACCTTGTCATGTTTGCTGTTTGCCTGTCACTGCTGTGAGAGTGCACCCACATCAGGGTTTTTTTAAAGTCCTTTTTTCATTAAATTGAAGATACAGTAACAGTTGGATGCAATTGCATGTGAAAGGACTTGACCTCAGAAACCATGGGCTTTTCATCAAGCCCATGGCTGTGCATCACCTGAGAGGCCTTGCAATTTTAGTGTGATAGCATGAAAATTAAGATAGATCAATTCAGTGGTAGGAAAAATTGCTGATCAACTGCTTCCACTTGAAGCACTTCAGTGCCACTACATTTGAATGGAACAGGAGAAAACATGCACAAGCAGAACTCAAGAATTCAAGAATTGAATGGGTTTGATTTCATTCATGTTTTTTTAGGTGAAAATTTAAAAAAATTTCAGTGTCCCTTGTATCCTACCTCATCTCTCATGTGGTTGAGTAAGTTAAGTGATTAATCACTGATTTTTGACATCAGGGTTAGTTTTCATAATTAGACCAGAGTTTCCCTTCTGAGTAGCGTCAAGAATATCAATCAATATCAATCAGAAAGGTCATATCAGAATAACCAAAATTGCATCTATGGACATGGTGCCTTGAGGACAAAAGTGACCCAAATGTAGGTGCTGTAGTCCTTGCATCAGTGTACCACTGATGCACCATACAAAGTCAGAGACTACAATTTAGGACAGAAGTTTTTTTAATTTGGTATGCAATGCCTTTATTATCTTTCCTTCAAAAAATTAGCAATTAATTCTCCCTAATACAGATGTTATTGTCATGAGAATATATGTAATACATTTTTTCCTCCATATTGATCATTTCTTCTTGTCAATACAGGGCTGGTACATCATCACATATGGTCTTGGTATCTATCATTTGAACCTCCTCATCCTCTTCTTGTCCCCCAAGATTGATCCTGCTATGTCAGAATTTGAAGGTGAGTCTCATCCTTTCCCCTTTTTTTCTTTGCTCAAAAAAAGGCCTTTTGCCCTTTTTGAAAAGGAATTGTGGTACCTTGCATGGTTACCTGTCTGTCTGCACATTTGCCTGTCATGAAATTTTCAACATTTTTGGGAACACAAATACTACTTGAAACCTTACAAAATTGTCCCAAGTCACAAGTTGTGGTAAAGTTGGTATTAACAGGGAATTCATAAAATACTAAATAAAAATGATCCCTCTCCAGACCAGCCTGAGGGATTGCATTGAAATTTGAGATTATAACTTAAGACACCATAGAATTTCTCTGCTCATGTTTTTGGATTTGAGGCATAGCAGTTGAAAATTTGCTTTAGTTCAGATAAAGCCATTTGCAATTTGAGCAATTTGAAGAAATTCCATATTGTCTTGAGTCGTAATCTCAAATGTTATGACAATCAATGACAGTGGTTGGCAACTGAATTTCCCGGGGCCAGATGACTGAATGCTGCACGTTCACAGGCCAACACCTATCAGATGTCATTAAAAAAATTTAATTTTGATGAATGTCTAATGTCAAATGTCCAGCCAAACTGCGACTGTCAGACTGGAATGTGCGATAGCCAGGCCTTTGCAGGCCATAGGAAGAGCTTTTGCGGGCCCATGGGCTGCCAGTTGCCAACCACTGATCTATGAAGTCATCCTAGTGATGTCATTATCTTTTAATGCAGTTACTTTTTGTACTCCCTTTATTTTTTTTGAAAATTTGTAACAAAATAAGAAAATGTTCAATTCAAAAACTGTGAAGATGGCAGCCTCTTGTAGCAGGACCCCGCTCTGGAGTGGTGGGTTGTCACCCACCATCATGATGGCCAATGTACTTGCTGTCTTAAGGCAAATGTAAATACAGGGTGTCCCATTTATATCTGACTTATTTATTTTTGTAATAAATCAGGACTGAACAAAGTAATGCAAGCTGTTATATCAAAGTAAAGTACAAACATGGGAGATTGTCACACTAACTACCCTAGGTCATTGTCACACTAACTACCCCAGGTCTATGTCTTAAAAATTAAATTCTTTAAAAGCTGTCTTTTACAATTGATGCATTCCCTGCATTGAACTACTACATTGTTCATTACTGTAATGAGTGTGTCTTCACCAATAGCATCGATGGCTTCATTAATCATGATTTTAAGTTCATCTCCACTTCTGGGATGTGTCTGGTTGACTTTGCGCTTTTATAATCCCCAGAGAAATATATCCAGGATCAGAGGATGGCCATGAAACAGTGCTGAACCCAGAAATTATCCTTCCCCCTAACTGTTGCCTAAAAAATGTCAAAATCCCATATCAAATTTTTTTCTTTGGGGATTATTGTAGAGCTAAGTTTACAAGACACATCCCAGACATAGATATAAACTTTAAATCATGGTTAATGAACCCATCACTGCTATTGGTGAAGACACACTGATTAGAGTAAAGAACAATGTAGTGGTTCGATGCAAGGAATGCATCACTTGTGAAAATACCATTTAAAGAATTTAATTTTTAAGATGTAGACCTGGGTTAGTGTGACAATCTCCCATGTTTATACTTTACTTTGTTCATTCCTGATTTATTACAAAAATAAATGTGTCAGATATAAATGGGACACCCTGTATATTCTGCTTCTCATTTTCTCCATGTCCTGTGCTATTTTGCCTCCATCATTTATGACAATATGCTCAAAGCAAGCCAGATGCTAGACTGGGTTGTCCAGCTTGCTTATATTCTAAATTGATGCATTCTGTACTTCAGGTGTTACTCTGTCACAGCACAGGTAAAGGTTTACATCTCACTAGCTCACTGTCTACAGGTATATTTATTGAAGGTATGTAGTATGGAGTGATGTAAAGTTAAGCTACATTCATGCCTTTCTTGTATTAGCCCTTACAACTGATAATAGCCTAATTGGCTGTATGTGTCCATTTGGTAATGGCATCAACTTCCACGACTCTTGAATCTTTTCTGCAAAAAATTTCAACTCATTTGTAAGCAATTATAAGTTTTTCTTCAAAACTTCAAAGAAAAGGAGGTTTTGAAACATTTGCACTCAAAAATACTTCCTCAATCCAAAGATCTGAAGCCTAAGAAAAGTTTCAGGTTCATCAGAGCACCATTTCTGAAGTTGTTTCCAATGCAATTAGGATTTTTTCAGTGTTGCCAGTTGCATTTTTAAAGGCATATCTCTAGGGTGGCCCAAAAAAATGTACCCACATTTTGAATAACTGCATAACTGAAGGAAATAAAATCACATGTTAGCATTACTTATTTATTAATACTTAATACAATCTTTTATCTCTTTATACACTTTTGCATCACTGGAGATGCTCAAATTGGCATCCACAAGCATTTAAACATTTAAATGACAATAATGACAAAATTACGACTGAAAGAGTGGGTACATTTTTGGGGCCACCCTGTACTGTATTTGAAGCCCGCCTTAATAGCTACTACTCTATGAATATTTAAGAGAATATGGATACCTACTCATAAGAGTATTCATTCGGCTCATAAGGTGCATTCAATAAGTTCATACAGTTGGTTTTTTTTGGAAAGCAAGCAAAGCTATATCTTCACTACCTCATATCTCTGTACTTATCACCACTTAAAGTACATTTTTAAATCCACATTTGAAAAGCAACAATGAACTGAAACCAGGTGAATAAAATCTTTTTGAATTTTTTAAACCTGCAAATTTTATTTAGGGGGTATGTTCACTGCATTAAAAAATTACTGAACCCATACCCACCTTACTGAAAAATATTTTCTCATGCAAATTTGTGAATAGACAAGGTCTTGGGAGCATATTAACAAGTGACATACTGTTTGTAGGCATCAATCAGTTCTTTGTGGATTTTAAATGTTTTCTTATGTAATGACACCAAACAAATTGCAGCCCTATGCTTTTCAACACTAAGCAGAGCCATTTCCACCTTGTGTCTGAAACAAAGAAACCAGCATTTTAATTTTTGTTTTTACACAAAATACCACCATGTACAGTCCTTCTTTCTAGTCCTTTCTTCCTAGAACAATTCCTGGCTGGGCTCTGCACTTTTTTACCATTTGAATGCTTATGAGTGGTTTTTTCTTATTTATAGATGATGGACCATCTCTGCCAACAAAGGTAAATGAAGAATTCCGACCTTTCATGAGACGCCTCCCTGAGTTCAAGTTCTGGTACAGCATGACAAAGGCCACACTTATAGCTATTTGTTGCACTTTCTTCGATTTCCTGAATATCCCTGTGTTCTGGCCCATCCTGGTCATGTACTTCATCACGTTATTTGTTCTCACCATGAAGAGACAGATCAAGGTGAGTCCTACATCTCTACAGTTATAGAGAATGGACAAATAGCTTTGATTCCTTGCTCAACTAGTCCACCTTTCCTGATCCATTTTGCCTTTCTTCTTTTCCAGCATATGATCAAGTATCGATACCTGCCTTTCTCATATGGGAAGCCCAAGTACCAAGGGCAAGTAGATTCTGTTTCTGCAGTGAACTCCAAGTGATTCTGATCATTAGTGTTGTCTGCATGATTGTGCATTTTAAATTCAAAGATAAGCATGATGCCCAGATTTGATGACCCATTATATCAGATGCATGAGTGAATAGGAAAGAGAGACATTCAATCACGTTGGTGTTATTATTTGTTATTTTAATTATGTTGGTGATCATTTCCTACTGGAAGTTGCTTGACTTTCAGAAGATGAAATGCTTTTATGCATCTTTCATCACTGCTGAGTAATAAAGGAAGTCCCATATGAGGGACAAACTTATGCTATGACTTGGTGATTTATTTTAAGTAAAGCGGACCGGTCTTCTGCTTCTCATGTTGAGGTTAGGCAGAATATGTTCAGAATGCAAATATGCAATTATTCAAACTCATGGGAAGAAGATGACTCTCTTGCATGAGATTAATGATAGTCCTTATTTCGTCCCTGATTGGGATTGCTGTAATTTTTGTATTTAAAAATTATGCTGACTGTGTAATCAAACAAAATAACAGCGTTAAACAATGTCTGTATGTGCTACCTTCTCATATACTGACACCTCTGACAAGTTGTGTATCAGTTGTATAAATATTAAGTGCCACCAAATTTTTTAAAATATATGTGGAAATTGCTGGCACGGATCTGGATTTTTTTTTTTAGTAAGCCGAGCTCCGCTTTTTGCCTTCAAATGCGCCTGTGCCCGATGTGGCGCGTCTTTCACCAACTTCCAGTGGCATAGCAAAAGGCGAAGGGGGGGGGGGGGGTGAAACTTCTCCAACTCGGGTCTAAATGTACAAATCAGGAAGAGTTTGATGCGGTGCAACCTAGAGAAGGTCGGCGAACAGAAGAGGTTTGCACCTGTGGAAAACTTTTAACTAACCATCCCCCTATCCACTGTGCGCTATGAGGTGGGTTGGACAAGCTTCTGTTGAGAGCAGCTGTAAGTTTTCGTAAAACCTTCTAGCCAGTGACGCAGTGGAAAGGACGTCTTTATTCGCGAGGTAGAGAGGCTTTTCTGGTTGCCCTCTGGCAGAGGTAGTAGTTCCACCACGAACGCCTCGTCCACCTGGTCCAATCACTTCGCGTGGTCCACCCCCAGTAGCACCCCAATATTGGGTCAATATGTACCGCCAAGATCCGCCAAGATGTATACATCTTGGCTTTACATTGGCACCCATCTTGGACCATTATTGGCTTTTGCTACACGGAAAAATATTGGGCCAATATTGGCGTTAATATTTTCCGTAATTTTTTTTTTCCCAATGGAGGCATTCCAATGATGAAGACATTTCACTATGCAGTACTGGTACGGCCTGTACTAGAATAGCCCCTTGCCCATACACAAGTCTCTCCCGTGCATAGGCAGGAGACATGGAACAGTACAGAGGTTGACTGCCCCTGTACGTACTAATTGTAGTACATTTCAGGAGAACTCCTTATTGTTCTACACAGTACTCGTGAATTCTGTCCCTCATTTCGTCCTCAGGATGAAGAAACAGAGATTGACTACACAACTACTTTCCGCGCTCTAAGTCTCATCGGATGGATTTTTTTTTTATAATGTTAGGAGCTAAAGGTATGGTGGGCCCCGCTGTCATGTGGACCGACACATGACTCTCGCCCACCATGGTGAGATCCTCCCAACATGAGGGCTGGCAGAGAGCAAGACCCTTATGAAGCTAATGACTTAGCCCTGAGAAGGTGACTCATGGCTATGGGGGAGAAGTCAACCCGAGAGAGAGCTGCTTCTCCCCCAAAAACCCTTGAGGGTTTTTTTTNGTGGAGAAGTCAACCCGAGAGAGAGCTGCTTCTCCTCCAGGATCTCTCCCTTGAGGTTTTTTTATCTTTAGGGGTTTATTTAAAGAGTAAGGAACTATGCGGCCTTATTGAGAAACAACCTGAATTTATTTAGGTTATTATCAGTGTTTTGGGGCGCTTAGTATTTAGGTCCACCTGAGCCAAAGAATGAAATCTACAGGGTTCTAGCCATTTTACTTCGTGAGTCAGTAAGGTGTGATTTTATTCAAGTCGATATTATATTTACATCCTATCGGAAGGGTTAAGGACAGATGCCCCGAAGATCACAAGGCGTTTGTGGATCCAGCTAGCCGGAAGGGCCTTATCAAGTGTCCGCGTGCGATAAAGTAACGAAGTTTTTTTTTTTTTAAGAATAGGAGCTAATGGGGGGACTGACCCCTCTCCCTGATGGTGGGTACATCAGGGGTCCCGCCAGTTCCGGTGAAACCCTCCTGCGAGCGGGCTGGCAGGTGCAAGACCCCCTCGAAGCTGATTTAGAC